ATCCATCCATCCATCAATCCAGCCATCCATCCTCCATTCATCCAACTATCCATCTATCCATCAATCCAGCCATCCATCTTCCATTCATCCCACCATCCATCCATCCATCCCTTCATCCATTCTCCATCCAACCATCCATTCATCCAACCAACCATCCATCTAACCACCCATTCATCCATCCACCATTCTCCATCCATCCATCCCTCCATCCATCTAGCTATTCATCAAGTATCGATCCATTTTTCCCTTCATACGTTCTCCATCCATCTATCACTCCATCTCTCACCCACCCATCCATCTGATAGTCACTCAAACAGGTCGGGTTCTTCCGATTTCAAACCATTCCACGAAAGAATGAGTGAAATGAGAGGTTTCAAAATGGGTTCTCTTAACATAAATAGTTTAGTTAAACATATCGATGAATCAAGAGTAGCTGTGATAAATCAACCTCTTAATATATCAGCTATTAATTAATTTAAACTTGATGACAACGGATGACAACGATTCTGATAATATGCTTTCTTTGCATAGTTATACACTAGTTCGTACCTACATACATACATACATACATACATACATACATACATTTAATTTTATTGAACACATCCCCGTCTGGGGCTTCCCAGTGAACAATTACATAATTTACATACTTGATACTATACATACAAAACTAACTAATAACACGTTAAATACAATATAAGTTACTTATAACTTTAAGAATAGAATGGTTATTTAAATAAAAAATCATTCAGAAGATGCCTTTTCAAGGCTCTCTTAAAAGAAGCTGGTTTTTCACATAGTTTCAATCTTGAGTCAAGTTTATTGCAGATGGCTACACTTCTATAAAAAAAGGTCCTCTGACCTGTTGTAGTTTTAAAAAGGGGAATACTGAGTTGTTAAAAGTTCCTCGTTATAAGCCCAGATACGCTGCCTCTTGTTACAAGGTCGGATGTCAAATATTCAGGCGCTAGGCCCGTTTTACATTTGAATGATATGGTAGCGTCACGATAGTACAGGATTGTTTTTACCGGTAGCCAGCGTAGATTCCTTATTGTGGAAGAAATATGATGTACTTCTTTACATTGCAAATAATTCGGGCGGCAAAATTTTGAACATATTGTAGTTTATGAACATTACAAGCTGATGTGGAAGACCATACAGACGAAAAGTAGTACATCTTACTAAAAACGAGGGCGTTAATTATAGTTTCAAGCAGATCTTTGTTTCGTAGAGACAGAAATAAGAAAGGTGGAGGCGTTTGTGTCTATTTACGTGATTCATTATCATTTAAAAGATTACATGATTTGGAAGAGCAAAACCTTGAGTTGATCGCCTTGGAAATTCAGAAACCTAACTCGAAACCTTTTCTTTTCACTGCCTGGTATCGACCACCAAAGCTAGATTCTCAATGCTTTAAGTATTTTGACTTATTTTGGGAGAAAGTAGCGCCAAAATAGAAAAAAAATTATTTACTTGGCGATTTGAACTGTAATTTTTTATCAAATCCCCTGGGGTATCACACTTGACATTTAATGGATGTGTTGATTAGCTTTCAGATGATTCAGGTGTTAAATGAACCTACAAGAGTCACCCTTATTTCCAAAACCTTAATTGATGTCGTGATTATCAATAGTAAAGAAAGGTTAAGTTACACAGGTGCTTATTCACTTTCAATTAGTGATCACTATCTTATTTATGCAATCAGGAAAATAGGGGTTCCCAGGGGTCGACCAAGGTTTGTTAAAGCAAGAAATTTTAAGCATTTTGACGAATCAAAATTCAAAAAAGATCTCATTAATGCGCCTTGGCCGTATAATGATAATTTTCAAGACGTGAACCGCGCGGTAGCCGCGTGGACTAAAGTATTTCTCAACGCTCTTGATATAATATTACTCCTACAGAATTCTTGACTAAAAAAGATTCTAGCTTTAATTTGAAAGAAGTGGAAGCCTCCAGTGTGCTAAAATTGAATGGGGTTAAAATTAACAAGGTAACTGGTATCGATAAAATATCAAATAGAATTTTAAAAATAGCTGCTCCTGTTAGCTATAAGAACTTAACAGACTTATTTAATTTATTTATCACCTCTGGTGTATTTCCATCTGATTGGAAAATAGCAAAGGTCTCTCCACTCTTTGAATCGGGTGCTCTGAGCAACGCAAGTAATTACAGACCAATTTCTGTTTTGCCAACAATTGCACGAATATTTGAAAGACTTACATTTGACCATTTATATAGGTATGTTAATGAGAATAACTTTCTTACAAACCATACCGTTATAAAGGCATGGTTAATGGAGTTATTTTCCTGTGCTTGAAAAAAGCCTTCGATACCGTTGACCATGTTATTTTACCTACAAAACTTAGAAACTGCAACAATCAATTGGCTCACTTCGTATTTAGAAAATCGACAACAAGTATGTTATGTTAATGATATCACCTCATCTATAGATTACATAACATGTGGTGTTCCTCAAGGTTCAATTTTAGGTCCGCTACTCTTTCCTATATATATAAATGGTATCTCTAATAGAGATACCATTTCTATCTCTTATATATATAAATGGTATCTCTTATAGAGTAGCAAGATTATTTGCTGATGATACGAACTTGATATTCTCAGGCTGCAGTTTCCCTGCCCTGCAGAATAAAATGTCAAAAGATCTCAGGGGTATAGCCTCTTGGCTTTCAGGCAACAGGCTTTCCCTAAATGTGTTAATCAAATCAAATTAATCAATTTATTATGTGCATATACTGAAAAGGAAGCGTCGGAGGTTATGCCGATCGAGGACGCTCCCTACGTAAAATACAAAAATATATAATTATACTGCAATCTAAAATTTGAGAGTCATTAACAAATAGGTAAAAAATATATATATATACATATTTTACAAAATTTTAAAATACTCTCTAAGTTTACTACGAAAAATGTTAAAATCCTGTTCGTGCACTATCTCTTTAGGAAGACCATTCCACTGTTACACAACTCCAACAAAGAATGAGTGCAAAAAACAATTTAATCTAGCTAATGGCTGTCTTAATTTAAATGAATGGTTTGATCTTATTTTACCATAACTATTAAATTCAAAATAATCATTACAGTTGAGGCCATTAAGACCATGAATAGTCTTGTAGCAGTCTAGCAAGGATAGATAAGATCTCCTTGATTGACGACTGGACCACCCAAGCATTGCCAGTCTTTCTTCGTACGGCGAGTCACTAGATGACGTCGAGGGAGCGTATTTCGAGGTCCTACGTTGTACTCGTTCAAGAGGATCAATGTTCTTTTGTAAATATGGTGACCAGAGAGGGACAGCATATTCCAGAATGGGTATAACCAAGGCCTTGTACAGAGGAGAAAGGACTTCCTTGTTCCCTACACCAGTATTCCTCTTAAGGAAACCCACAATCTTATTAATTGGCTTTATTTACAACTTTCTGGGTATGGGTGTTCCAGGATAGATTTGAAGACAATGAGACCCCCAAATCGACCGTTTCGGTGACACACTGAAGCGTACAACCAGATAGCTTGTAAGGATAGCTGGTGTGAAACATAGATTGTTAATTTGTAAAAGCTCCAAAACCGTGCTGCGCGAATAATAACTGATGCTTCTTATTTGCAAAGATCTAGTGATGTTCTTTGTAAATTACGCTGGATCACTTTAGAAACAATGAGAAAACGTCAGAAAGCCATTTTGATGTTTAAAATACTGAATGGTCTCACTCCCCCGTACCTGTCTGGAATGTTTACCCATAGCGCCTCTTTTCCGTATTATGGACCGCGATCTTCCAGTATGAATGTTGCGCTCACTAAAAGTCGCACAGATTTTTACAGAAACAGTTTTGCATTTACCGGAGCAAGAATCTGGAATGATTTGCCAAACAGTTTAAAAGAAGACACTTCGCTAAAAAAGTTTATGGGTAAGCTGGACTATTACTATCAGAACCAGCAAAACTAGTTGTAGAACATTAAGCTTTTTAATAGTAAATATATGACTTGTATTGCGTACAGATTTTCTGCAAACCAAATTTTATTATTGCTGTATATTTTAATTTGATAAAATGCCGTATTTAAATAAAGGGTTCCATCCATCCATCCATTCATTTATCTGCTCGGTTGTTCTCATATTCCTTCATTCTTTCCCGGTATCCGTTGATCACTCATTGATTAGTACTGCTTTTCCGTTTCTAGATAGTGTCATCTGCACACAAACGGTGTTGTCACAAGTTAAGGAAACGATCAACTGCGTCTCAAGAACAATCGAGAATTCTCGCAGCTCTATCTCAAGCGTAATCTTTTTTAACTATAATCTTTCGCTCACTAGAGCGTCGTCAAAATTTGCGAATACGGATAGGAACTTCTGTCCCTGAAAGATTCGTAGGAGACCATCATGTCCAAGTGTACAAATGCTTTTGTCTGTAGCCATGTAGTGGAAAAAGATGAGAAGATCCGGCTGGGCTACAATGCTTTAACGGTGTCTTCGTTAGCTCCCTGAGGACGTTTTAATTACACTATGAAGAAATTAAAGGATTAAACCTGTGAAAGTCAACACTTCAAGCAGCTTTCGCCCTTTTAGATTACCTAACAAACCTTCACATAACTGTGTGAAAAGATCCCTTTCCTTCAAGCCTTTAACAAGTAGACTAACTCTTTTTTTATTTGCATTTTCGGAATGCATTCATTCCTTCGTTCGTTCGAGAATAGGTTAGACGTATGTAATGACATTGTGCTAACATAATAACATGCACTGACTTCATACGGCAGAACCTCCTAAGAGATGGACTTATCATTATGCCATTTGTGTGGAACTGCAGACAAATAATGTGGAAGGAACATGGCAAATCATTATGCCATTTGAGTGGAATTGCAGACAAATAACGTAGAAGGAACATAGCAAAGAAATGTTTTTTTTTTCCGGAGTGTCCTCATACGATTGTGTTGCAAGTTTGATCTAAGCTTCCTTTAGAGCTACGTTGATTATTTGGTTTTTTTTCTTCGTCAGTTTATTTTAGGACTTCAATTAAACTTCTTAGAGTGCAATCATCCTTGAAAGTTAACCGCTAAATATGGTTCTTATCTTGCTTGTGCCTGAGGATTTTATTAACCATTTCTTCTTTTCCCAGCTGAACAGACTTTGCAGGTTTTCTTGCATTTGGATTTGATTCTTCTTCTCCTCCTGCAGCGGCGAATCCAAGACTTACGACGGCATTTCCGTGAACTGTCTTTGCAAGTTGCTGAGAAGTGGAAAAGAAGAAAAACATAGAGTTAAATGTTACACTATAGTTTAATTCACAAATTCCCTAATTAAAAAGGAGCTATCTTAAAATAATTAGGAGATTTTTGATCAAGCCATGTAACCAAAACAAGAAGCATGTCTAACTATCACAATTTTTGGGTGGTTGAAAATGATGGCTGATATAACTTTCACACTGTCCTCAATAATCTTAGAAATGTTAACGAAATAAGGCAGAGTAATTACTAAACCAGTTTTTTTTTACCTTTGGGCTTAGGTGTGGGCTTGGGCGTGGGCTTGGGCGTAGGCTTGGGGGTGGGCTTGGGCGTGGGCTTGGGCGTTGCCTTGGGCATAGGCTTGGGCGTGGCCTTGGGCTTGGGCGTTGGCTTGGACGTGGTCTTGGGCTTGGGCCTGGACGTGGGCGTGGGCGTGAGCTTGGGCGTGGGCTTAGATGTAGGCTTGAGCCTCCTTGCACACTCTGCCTTGTAGAGAAGGTTCGCCTGTTGTGCATCTATGGAACTCAATCCTTTTCGTTGGCCGATAGTAACCTAGAAAAAGTTGATGATAGTTTATATTTAAAAAAGGTGACATTCGATAAGATACGTTTGATAAAACACTTACCTAAAAAAAAAGAAGAAAAACAAGGTGACAAGAAAAGCATCGAAAAGAAGAAGTAGTACGTAGTATTTGGAAGAGATCGTAGTCATACGACTTCACGGCAGTCACATTGGAAAACGAACAATATAATAAAGGGCACTTTAGAGCACAGCAAAGACAAAATGGCTGCCATCATGATGACACACTAACAGCCTTGTGGGTTTTTAACATGTAAATGTTTTTCTTGGCCCAAAACGGTTTGCCAACTTGGAAAGGTTCAATAAGCGTTTCTCACTCTACTCGGCTAGGCCAGGTAGGGCCTCACTCTGAACGCGTGATTCAAAGAATGCAGCCTGAGCGGTAAACACGCATATCTAAAAATAGCCACGTAACCACTAATCTGCCGAAGAAAGTCGATTCTAGGGCATGAGATACTGTAAGAGTATAACAACAGGTTTAAAGGAAAAGTTTCTAACGCTACCTCATTTTGTGGGGCCAGATCATGACAGTATAATCTTTTGAGTCTAATCTGTGATGAGTTCTGTTTCAAGAGGCAGTTTTTTTATATAAAAGAAGGAAAGCACAATGAATTCCACTCGGAACTTGTGAAGCGTTTTTTTTTTTAAAATAACCGCTCAGCTTCACATTTTGGTTCCTAAGCAACATACCCCTGGTGTTTTAACAACTATCGTTGGTTTTCCATTCTTGCTGAAAGCTGTGCTCCTATAATGCATTAGACTTCCATAGTCGTATGGCGTGCCGAGTGAATCGATTTTCCATCTGCTGTATTTATAAAAATTAGATTCCGTCCCTGAAATTGAATAAAAGTAAACCAGTAAATACAAATAAAACTACGATCCAAGCGAGGCATTATGTTGTAGTATTAAAAAGATGTATCTTGAAGTTGGCAATAGGGTTGACGTGGAAACTTTCGTTATCACTTGTTCTTTTGAGTTGATTTAAATTTTAGTTAACCTTTTGTCACCATAAAAGGGCCACTTGGTTTTGTTTAATGTTTAGAACTTGACAATTTTCGAAATAGCTTATTCAATAAGTTCATAAGATCTATATTTACCAAGTTTGTGCTCTAGCCTCTATCAAAAGGAACTAATTGATAAATAATTAATAATTAATTACCTGAAACTATGTTTGCACGATTTATCGAGATGTAATTATCTCTGTCAGGACGTGATTGCTCATGGTAAAATCCGATAGCATGACCTAGAAAAATTTTATATAGACATTTATCTAGAGCATAACATTTTTTTCGCAGTATTAAAGATGAGAAAAGAAATGGAGAAGAATAAAATGAAATGGAATGGAGTAGAGTGAGTGGAATGATTTGGAATGGAGTAGAGTGGAGTGGAATGATTTGGAATGGAGTCGAATATTGTGGAATGGAGCTGATTGGAGATAATTGGAAGCGGAATGGAGTCGAATGAAGTACAATGGAGTGCAATGGGGATAAATACAATTAAATGGATTGGAGCGCGATGGAGTGGAATGAAACGAAAGGAGTAGAATTGAGTAGAATGGAAAGGAATGGGGAAAAAGGAGAAGATTAAAGTACGATGGAGTGGAATGGAGTAAAATGGAGAACACAATGGGGTAGAATGGAATAGAATGGAAAAAGTAGAATGAAGTGGAATGGAATCGATTGGAATGGAATGGAATAGAATTGAGTCAGATGGAACGGAACGACTAGGCGTAGAGAGAAGTGGAGTGGAAATGAGGAGCATGGAGGTAGAATGGAGCTCATTGGAGCACAATGAAAGTGGAATGGAGTGGGGTGAAGTGGATTAGGGTAGAATGGAGTGGAATACGGTTGAATGGAATGGAACTGAGTCGAGTGGAGTGAAATGTAATAGAATGGAGTAAAATGCAGCGGAATAAAATGGAATAGGAAAGAAAGGAATGGAAAGGAATGGAATTGCATGAATACAGGATAAAGAGAATGGAACTGCCAAGGTCTCTTTTATATCATGGTTGAGGGTTCCTCGATAACGTACCGACCGTACGTAAAACGATGGCGATTTATGAAAAAGTATAGTCACCTATTTCGTGAGAAACGATGCCTTTGTACCAGCATCCTCGTGCGAGATAAACTTGTTGGCGCCTGCCAATTCTTCCCACATATGACGCACATCTGAAATATAAATGGAACATGGCGTCAACATCTGCACGATCTGAAATATACCATTATCTACTTGAGTTGAAAACCCAGAATATGGTCATTGCGGGATAATCTTAAACTTTTCCTTGCTGTATTGACTGAGCTTCTGTGAGTTAAACACAGTTTGGCCGATCGAGGTTATAGATCTCCCCTCAACAACCGACCGATCGCTCTAGGATATGAAAGGTAAGCCAATGGATACAACAAAAACATCATGCAGGAAAAACCCGACAACATTTTAAAGTAATCATTTCAGTGCCATTTAAAATACAGATACATGATAATTTCTTTACAGGTGGTGGGGGAGGAATATGTTGGATATTTGTAGGGATATATGTAATAAGTAATAATAAGCAGAATGAGCTCAGCACCGTATATCGAAATAGAATAACTTACACGAACGACTACAGCAAAACCAACTAAAGAGGAAAATATAGAAAAAAAATTAACAAATAAACAAGCAAACAAAAAGGAAACCGCGCCACGACAGTCACTATACTTGTAAAAGAAAGCAAAACAGTAATTTATTATTTTAGGACGCGTACCCTCTGCCAGTTGGGAAGTAGAGGTAAGCTGTCTCACTGGTTCTCTTCTTAAACCGTATACAGGTTTTTGAGGTCCAATCAGCCATCCCTGTTCTAATGGCGGACATTGCACGGGAATAGCGACCTTCAAAGGAATTGTCATAAGTTGAGAAAACTATAGTCTAAGGTGAACTCCAATCAATTGAATGCGTGTCAGGACGACTCGTTTTTACATTTTATCTTAAAACGCACGGAAGTTCTAAACAACTTCAATCCACTTGCAACAAAACTAAGTAAAAACGTCGGTCTAATTGCGAAGCTAATACATTAAGTTCCTAATCGAACTCTTCTTGATATTTATAAATCCCTCAATGCACCCTTTATAACGTATGGATTAACTTCTTGGGGAACTGCATCTAAGACCTTGTTAAATAGTATTCTTGTCTTACAAAAACGCGTACTCCGTCTCGTCCACTTTGCCCCAGTAAGGGAGCAGGCAATATCCTTTTTTTTGAAAGCAAAACTTCTTCCACTAGAATTCCAATATTATGAAAAAATTGCTAATCTAATGTACGACATCAATACTTCTTCTGCGCCAAGTAATCTTTCGAATTTGTTTTCTAAAATTTCCAGCGTTCACTCTTACGGCACACGTTCATCAACGTCTGAGCATTTTTATACTAAAAAATCTGCGCTTAATGTTCAAGTAAGGCTTTTTCACGTGTTGGCGTTAAAATCTGGAATGGGATACCAACCAGTCTTAAAAAATTATCCAAGAACTCTTTTAAAAAATCCACTAGAACAAAATTAATCAAAATTCTAGAAACTGAAAACTCCTATGTTGAAATAGATACTCTAATTAATAAGATGAAAGGTTAACTTCTAACTGTAATTATGTTTAGTCTGTAGTCGACTCCTAAGGCAAAATAGATACTTTAATTAATACTTTAATTAATACTTGATGGAAGGTTAATTTCTAACTGTAATTATGTTTAGTCTCTAGTCTCTTTAGTCTGTAGTTTTCCTCTTTCTTCTGTCATGTTGTAATTGTATGTGAATATTACTATATAAAATTGTGTAAAATTACTTTTCAATTGTCTGGCATGCCGCGACTAGCTCTTCGCTATTTGCAAGCCAGCCTAGTAATAACCACCTGATATTTACTTGGAAATAAACTTCAAACTGGTGTTGAAACTAATGTGGATATTTAAAAGTAACATCGACGAAGGCGTGGCTTTCCAGATGATGTTTTTATTACTTGATGAAATTATATGGAGTCAATGAACTTGAAGATCTCGAGTATTTGTGAGTTCTTCTGAGTTATTCATTTAACTATAGCTTGAAGGCATATAATCATCTAGACTTGTTGGTATATAAAAGTTTACAAGGTGACATGAACTAACCAAGACTTGGAGCAATCTGATAAGTGACAACTCCCTTGGGCCATAGTTTTGATTTCGACGAGGCTCTTTTGTGGCGAGTCCCATCAATATCTAATCCTTCTTCTGCTCTCTCCCGCTGCTCCTCCGAAAGTAGCATGTCTCCTTCAAAAAGACTGGAGTTCCTCAAGCCGAAATTCTCTGAAGACAGGCAAAATGAGTCAGATAACTGTATTTTATTGCATTGAATTATCAATCATATTGCATAAAGTTATGTTATATTCTTTTCACTTATTTATTGCTTATCAGTCTTTCCGTTAAAATCAAAGAAAGTTGACGTAAGTGTCTTAGCGCAGGCAAGGATATAATGTTTTCCAAGCAGTTTTTGATAGTATTACTATGTTTTGTGAGACGTCTGAATGATGGCCAAACTCGATCTGATGTTCTGTGGAAACGATGAAATAGCAGACGTCTTAGACGAAGGACTCAAAACAGGAGAGGAAACAGCAAAATATCTAAAATCAATAGTTATCATTAATAACCGCATCCGGTCTATAGTTAAGTTTTTAATCTGACATTGAAAAATCGCTGAGTAATACTCTTAAGGAATTTAGGTAAAAACGCAAGTTTATTTTGAAATTATACTTTTCTGGATCGATTAACTCACTTGTTCAGAAAAACCGAAAGGAAAGAAATTGGGAACACAGGATATATTCCAATAAAAAGGAAGCAATTGAACTGATTGTTGAACGCTATCACCTAGAGGAGAACTATTATTATTGTTTCTTTTTTTTAATGTTGATTTTTTTTCAAGGATGTCATTTAGCTTTAAATTAATTTGAACACTTGAAAGGCACTCGATAATGCAACTTAAGCTAGGGCTATAAATGGAACAGATCACTGTTCCTATCTAGAGATGGGTGCACGATTCACCTCTGGAAATCTTAACTAAGATTCGATGATTTTCAAAGCAATCTTGCAAAGGTTTGCATTCAAAGATTTGTAATTGCTCAGTGCTTCGACTGATCGAGGAATATGGACAGCGCCCTGAGATCGATGAGTCAACGACATCAATTCAAAAACCAAAAGCGAGAGCGGCGACGTATTTTGACCAGTAATTCGATGCCAGAAACACTACCTTTATATCATCAATTATCTAGTCGCTGATGATATATTTAGGAGGGGTGCGTTCGGGATTGCTGTTTTCAAGACAGTAGATAAAAACAGTGATGCATCAGAGCTATTTCGTGTCATTTTTTTGACGAATGATTGCCCCAATATCCAATTTCGAGTAGCACTTATCACAGACGTGACGGCAGTACCCTCAGTCAATATAACAATATAGTTATTTATTATTCAAATGTGCTTCGTAGAGTACAAATAACGCGCGAGACGAGTACAAATATCCCGCGATATTTGTACTCCAGAAATATCCGCGAAATTCGCCCGCACTGAAATAACAATTTGGCCTGTTGGATAATAAATCTCTTATTCAACCTTTAGTTGTGTAGTATCGCTGAGTATTTTTACTCGTTTGTATTTTGACGACGTCAAAATACGGCGCAAAATACTCAGCGATACTACGCAACAAAACGTCTACTCTACTAAGATATATGTTTATCATCACATCATATCAAGATGGATAAAAAATGTGATTAATCTTGGTTTGAATGGTAGGCTGGTTTCAGTGAAAAAAAAAAATGAAGTTCTCCAGGTCAAGTTTGAAAGAAGGTAATTTGTTAAGAACTTGATAGAAATGTCTAAACAAAGGCTAATATAATATAGAGGAGAAAAAATTGAGCAAAATGTCACTCACTATTCTGCAATTTTAAACGCAAAAACAGAATGTAACAAAACTCAAATTTTCCATAAGCTGGCCAATCATGTCAACTTGAGGTGCTTCTAGTGGACAAATACATAAATGATTCAATTTAAGATCTTTTAGACTCCTAGTCCACCCATCAATTTATTCAAAACAAAGATGATGAGGGCAAATCGTAATAATCAAGGTATATTTGATGAAAATAATCATAATAACAATCATGATGATAATAATTGTGATAAAAACGATGATAATACAGCGGTGATCTTTAGAAACTATCGCTATTTTTAGACAAATCCATCTGTTTTTAAATCCTTTAGTTTTAATATATTTTCAACTGTTATCTCGAACTGCTGATACTAAATCTAGCTGCTAAAGAAAATTTCATATATATTTATGTTCTTTCCTAGGCTAATGATCTTGAAATAATAATCTTATATCTGGAAAGATATGAAAAAGTTGAACTTTAACCTTAATGATTGCGGTTGACGAAGAAAACACGTTACAAACGAACGGAATCCTAAACGCGTCGAAAGCTTTACTGCAAAACGGTTGAAATTATTTTTGAATTCGATGAGTCTATTGCGATATAGTTGTAGACTAGACATGAATAAAATGCGAAACAACTAGAATGCATTTTGGTCCTTTCTTTTTAAAAGGAAAGGAAACTTAAAGTTTGAGTGACGGTTGCAGCTTGCACTTTATGAAAAAGCAAAGCGCAGTGTCCAAAGGGCAACCCATGCATCGCATACCATAATCAACTTTTGCATGACGAATCGAATGTGTGCGCTAGCTAAAAATGTAAATTGTCTTCTTAGCCTTAGGCTTGAATAATTATTTTAAATCAATTCTTCTATAATGGAAATCATACAAAATTGAAACAATCAGAGTTAATTGGGACTGATCCGGAAAGTTTTTAGGGCAATATAGGTGCATTATTTCTCATCCTATTTCTTTCAGTAATCAGAAATCTTGATTCCCGTCCATGTCAATGCTTAGAAGCAGGATAGGGTTCTTTCATCTCCTACTTCTGGAGGTCTTACTTAGCTTGGAGCTCACAAATGCCCAAGGCAGTTAATTTTAACTTCGATCAAGCAACAGTATATAGGATTGTCTAAATATTCTATGCCATACACGCAGCACTGATATCCATAAAAAACATCAGTAATATTAATAGTGATAAAACAGTACAATGCATCAAAGAAAAGCAATGCTAAATTTGTTTGAGTCAAACAAATTCAATGTTTTTGCAGTCGTTGTAATATGGCCTACGATGGGATATTTGTAGTTTCTAAGATTAACAATTACTCTCTAAAATTCTGAAAATTGAGTTTATTTTCTAATATTTCTTTAAAATATCGAGTCTTGCCGTCAGGCAATTGGCAACAATCACGTATGCATATTTTTATGCGATACAAACTTTGGTTCGTTATCTATCATTCAAATGTAAAACCTTCATGAAAAGCCTAACCTTACCGATTGTAAAGGTACACTGTGGTAAACCGAAAGGAGAAATAGGCAAAGGCACCTAGCTATAAACAATTTCATCACGTGTGCAAACCCAGGCTCATAAAACAATTAAGCTTACCATCAGGGTTATGTACAGTAGCAAAAGCAGTGTTGATCAATAAAAGGACGCCAATCCACTTCATCCTCTGAAGACGTAAAACTGATTCAATTGACTTTGACTCTGAAAACTGCTACTGGAGATCGTTTGGTGAACAAAATGGAACTAAGACAGGTCCAGAACTTTATAGTCTTGCCGAACATCCAACATCAATTTCATATCGGCTTGTCGCGCATTGAGTCAATACTGATCTCTTCAAATTGCCACAAAATTGCATTTATTTAAAATTATACTTATTTTCCTCACGTTGTAATGTTGAATTGATACCTACGTCATTCAAAGTATTTCGGAAAAAAAATAAACGTATAAAAAAATTCCTAATTGCTTTTGAGACAAAATATCTATGACAAAAGTAAGCGTTTCATGTCGGTTTGTGTAAAAGTTTTCTACTTGATCTAAAAGTCACAAATAATGTTTTCCTCTACAAAGCATATATGGTGCAATTCAGCAGATTTTAATTCTGCCCATTTAAAAATTCATGATTATATATCTTTTTTTTTTTGAGAAAACGCGTGGCTTTGTACCGAAATATGTAAGAGGAAGTTCAAAGAAGAGACTCCAAGATACTAGGAGGAAGAAGGTACTTCCTTATAAGGAGAGTCTCCAGGAATGTTAGGAGAGGGCGAAAAGCAGGATTTGGACGAAGAGAGTCCTACATGGAGAGTTAGATAAAGAAAAAAAGAAAGAAAGACAAAAAAAAAATAAAATCAGGTGAAACCGGTAACGATTCCTTGAGAGAGCTTAGGAATGTAACACGTGTATTATAGGAGACAGAAATCGTGATCCAAACTGCTCAAGAAAGAAACAAAAAGAAACAAGACAGGACAAACTTAATCAAGTACATTAAAGATAAGACCTAAAAGGCGTTGCTGTGTAGATTTTGTGAAGAATCAACAGAAAGAAATCGTTTGTGGATCCAAGAAACTTTCCCAGATAGAGAATGAGAAGCATCACGATAAGGTGGTGCAGCTGGGCACACTGTGCGATGTTTTCAAAGCATGAAATAACCATAAGCCCTTGCCAGACACTGAGAATGGGGAAGTGAGGATAAATTGGAAAACAAATGTATTCACAGAATAGTAGCTGAGGCACAATCGGCCAAATATTAATGTAATTTATCAAGACGCAAATGAGTGGACGCTTATCGACATTACTGTGCAGGCAGACCAGAATATAATCTGGGCTGAAAAGTAGAAGGTGGAGAAGCTTCAGTACCAAGAACTAGCAATGAAAGAAGTACTGCGATTTAAATTTCGATCGTCATCAGTGCACCAGTATGGGAAGCTAGATCTACTTGACATAATTGGAAGTGTGAAGTTGTCGCAACTGCTCTAGAGCTGTGAAACGTTTTGTGCCTTCAAGCTAAGTGAACTCTTACATGAGTTAAAAGAATCAGAATAACATCAGAGAACAGTTGATGATGAAAGTAACGATCATGCTACTGATGATGATGATATGACTAGGGGCAACATCTACCTTACAATGTCCTTAAATACTTTCGCAACATCTCAGAGATTGTTGCGAAAACCAATCTCTGACGATACTGATCTGTGGTGATACTGATCTTTGATGATACTGATCTGTGATGATGCTGATCTCTGATTTATACGCCTTATTCATAAATGGCGGACGCGCCGTTAAGACCTGAGCCGAGCTCGCCAAAACGAGGCTTAGGAGGCATTGCTCGACCTATTGATACTGTAGGTCTTGTTCGAAGGATTGTGGAATTATTGACTGTTTACACTGATTGAGGATCAGTTAATGTAACGTAGTTTGACCCTGGCGAATGTTCTGTTATAAAGATGGCGCGTGTTTTACAGTTAATTTGAGTCATTATCATCATCATAAACTTTATTTCATCTCGAATTTTAGAGTAGCTTGTTGGAGCTAATATCTTCGAGAAAACATAAAATGGAGATTATCTATAAATATTCATACATATATCCGTACAAAATCTAAAATATTAACTACACTAAAATATACTAAAATACACAGTGTTTAGAAATATAATTATGTAACATATCAGTAGAAATTAACAGAAAAGTGAAGATAAACGGGAGGAACTATACAAAGATACGGCCTTGGATTATTTTTCTAAAGTCTTTAAATGCACTCATGCGGATATAGTCAGGCAGTGTATTCCATAGCTCAGCTGAGAAGTATGAAAACGAATTAAGGCCATAACTAGTTGTTCTATATTTTCTAAGTGACAGTATGTAATTACCCCGAAGATTATAAGAAGAGGACCGAAGTGAAAACATACCTCTCATATATGCTGGAAAATGAGTGAAAAACAGGCTCTTGTACAATAAAATAAGGAAATTCTGGATACGCACATTACATAAGGAACTAGTGTTGACCTTAGTCATAAGGCTATCATATGGCGACAAGTAATCCCTAAGTATAAATCTGAGTATTCTCTTATTCAGCGCTTCTAGTTTATCCGTATTCCGCGCCCCACAAAAGTGCCAAACTGAGGAGCAATAGTTAAAATGCGGTAAAATGTAAGCTTTGTAAAGCGTAAGTAAGGTGTCCCTCGATATCAGTTTTCGAAAGCGTAACATAACATTAAATTGATTATTGATCTTTTTGCATATGTTGGATATGTGACTAGAGAAATCGAGCTTATCGTCTATTTCCATTCCGAATATCTCTAATGTGTCCTTTACTGGGAACGAAAAACAATAGTCCGTTTCGCCAAGAACGAGACCCTGGTGCTTGCTCTCGTTGATTGACAGCCCATTTTCATGGTACCAATGATTGGCTACCTTGACATTGTGAGATATGCATGCGTCTACTGTCGCTGGGTCGATGTGGGAATAGTATATCTGATGATCATCGGCGTAAGCGTTCAGCCTGGCGCCCTTGACGTAAAACAAGAGATCGTTGATAAAGAGGTTGAATAGCATTGGACCTAACACACTCCCCTGCGGGACCCCACGTTCAACGCTTTTCCAGGCGGAGAAGATGCCGCCTATCTTGACTCTCTGAGATCTACCAGAGAGATAGTTCCTGAGTAGAGCGCCACTCTTGTCATCCATACCGTAGGCCTTGAGCGTGCAAAGAAGGAGTGGATACTGAATAACGTCAAACGCTTTGGAGAGGTCCATAGAGACCACCACAACGAGCTCACCTCTGTCGCGCATCATCCTCCAATCTTCCGTCAGCCTTAGCAATGAGGTCTCACAACTATGAAGCTTCCTGTAAGCGCTAATCAAATCTGAAAGCATTTCCAGATAAAATTCATGCATCTGGCCTGCTAGAAGCCTTTCAAAAATATTGTTCAGAACGGGGAGCACAGTTACAGGCCTATAGTTAACCTTACAAAACTCGTCGTCTTTTTTTGAACAAGGGAGTCACAGTGCCCATCTTCCAATTTGCAGGATAAGAGCAGTTTTCAATGGAATGGTTAAAAATGTATGTGAGAGGCTCAGCAATAACAGATGCAGCGTGTTTGGCCAGCCGTGGTAGGATCATATCGTGACCAGGGGATTTACGTACATTGATCTCTTTCAATAAGCTTTCAACCTGAGATTTGCTTGTGCGATGAAAGCTGAAGCAAGTGGGTTCGTCTTTGCCCCTGTTTTCAAAGATTACTTTGATACTCAGATGATTAGCAAAATCATTGCCATAATCCTCTTACTCTCTGAAAGGTACATTATCAGCGATGTGTACAAAGTGTTCGTTAAATAATTCGGCAATTTCCTTTTTGTCAGTAATAATTCTGTCCTTTTCCTTTAAGATAATATCATTGGCTCTTTTTGCTTTCGTATGTAAAAAAGGGCGGAAAGTAGACCAGAACTCGAGTGGGTTACCAGGCTCTGATGATTTCTTAACAAAGTACTGTTTTATTGCTTTTCGCCTGAGAGAAGTACAGGTGTTACGTTCAATTTTGTACGCCTCGTAATTTGCATCCGCATAGTTGCGCGTGAATATTTTCCACAATTTATTGCGGTGTCTAATGGCTTTCCTCCATTGTTCCGTCATATATGGCACCAGCGGATTGCCGCGTACCATTGTTCGCTTAATGGGGGCATGCTTATTTATGACATCTAGAAACAATTTTTCAAATGTATCAACCTTATCATCAAGTTCATTGAAAGCGTCAATAATGTGGAAAGGCACAGATTGCATGTCACGCACAAAGTTTTCCTGGCTAAAATTCTTGAAATTACGAAAGCAGATCTTGCGTGAACGAGCCCTTGGTGCCAGTGATCGTAGGATTGTGTAAACCAACGAATGATCGCTGATGTGTGTATCCACCACCCCAGATGCAACTATATTTCTGTTGTTGTTAGTGAGAATTAAATCGAGTGTAGTTTGAGATGTCCTGGCCTTTCGAGTTGGCTCATTAATCAAGCAATGCAGGTTAAAAATATCTAACAAGTCTAGAAGAGATCGACCGTATTTTGGCGGTTTGTCCGGTTCTGAAATGTCAGCATTAAAATCTCCCGCAAACAATATGAGTCAAGACGATATTCCTGGAGCGTCTTTAGAGGGAAAAAATCCAGTAGAGCTCAACAACGATGCCCTGAGGTTTTGGCTAAAATGTAGAGGAGATAAATGCAAAGGCCTGAAAACAAAGGCTCAGCTATTAAATCGGTAGGTTTAAATGTAACGATCGATAGCCAAATATAAGTAGTAATCTAAACTTCTTATGTTGGGTTAGTTAAATATAGTTTGGTTTCGATACCTGAGTAAAATACACTCGAATTCAAAAATTTTTCTCCAGGTTTGATGAACATATCAAATCGGGGTTAGAAGACGCGATAGTCGATCCTGATCCAGATATAACTTATACGAAGAAGAAAATTGCTAGGGAGCAAGCAAGCAGCGGCCACGAGACTGTAGCAAGTACTTCTATAAACGCCAGCTCTACCTATGTTTCTTAGCGTCAAGGGAACATATAGATCAATTACCCGACGATTGGATGGGGGAACTCATTGCAGAAAATGCACTTTTTCTCCCGTACCGAGATGGATAAATTTGTTGCATTAACTGGAAAGAGTTCGGGCTGTGCCGGTAAGAAATCTGTTCCAACCGGGCTCAAAAAAGCTACAACTATACTAAAGGATGAATATCTTAAGAACATTGAAAGCTACAGTGACCAAAGATACTTCTTTATGCGTTGCAAATGTTATCACTCCGTTCGAAAGAACGATCCCCCTCATAATGTATTTTTAGCATTATGTATTGTCTCAGGTGAAGTGTAAGATTCCAAACGTTCGTGTGTTGCGGGCTCCTTGGGCTGCTGCAACCATTATTTAACCTCAATGTTGAAGGCTTGTAAATTTAGTCTATATGGGTCCCAGAGTACTAGAGACCTAGAAAATGAAGCTGATCAGATCCCAGAGCAAGCATGCACCTCAAAACATCAAACTTGGCATCAAAAAGGTTGCGGTGAAACCATCAACCCTCAGCCTGTTATGGATGTGGTTGTTTCAAAAACCAAACTGGAGGATACAAAACTTGGAAATGAAGGGATTCATTGTCTCCTTTACGAGGCAAGAAATAATGCAATGTACAACAGTTCAGAGGAGCAAAAATTCAAGCAGGCAATCAGAGATATAAACCCTAAAATGGGTCTTGCTCAAGCTGTTATCTTGGAAGTGAAAGACATCTGAAAGAAACGAGATTCGGGCATACTCCAGTGGGCTCTTATGTAAGCTACCAGCTAGCCCACAGGGTCCAACTTTAATGTTTGTGTTGATGTTTCCCCTGTTTCCTCGAGGGAGGAAAAATAACCAGCCATTAACTTATCCCAGGTTTCCCTTAAGAGATTGTGGACTGCCTACAGTTCAAAACAATGAGCTAACAGATGTAGAGAAGAAATTGTAAGAATCATTATTCATTGATGAGGAAACTGTTAATACCATTGAGAGGGAGACTAAAGATCAGTCACATTCTGAAAGGTTGAAGCTTGAGCTAAAGTACCGTTTTACAGCTCTCAGTTTCATCTGATATCTCAGAGACAACGCAGTCATGATAAATTTGCTCAAGTTTTCATGTGCCCAAAGACATTCCACTCTAGACACACAGCTCATGGGATTAAATATGAGCCAGTAGCAATTGACAGGTATCACAAATACACGCACAGTCAAAAAACACCAGTACATGTTTTCAAAAGTGGATTTGTTGTATGCACTAATTCTCCAATACTGGGATGTTCTCCGGATGGAAAGGTAATAGACCCCAGTTGTGAAGATCCCCTTGGTCTAATGGCTCATATTTAATGGAGTCAAGTGCCCGGAAACAAAGTTTCAAGTGAGTCCCCTAGATGCCTGCTCAGACCCTAAGTTCTTTTGTGAGAGGGTTGGGAACATGTGCAAGCTGAAAAGAACCCATGCTTACTATGCCCAAGTTCAGGGCCAAATGGGCTGTACTGGTGCACAATGGTGCGATTTTGTTGTTTACACTAAAAAAGGAATGTCAATTGAAAGAATTGCCTTTGACAGAGGTTACTGGGTTGAGCTTCAGGAGAAGCTTTGGCAATATTATTTCACAAATTTCATTAAGTATGCTGTAGCTGAGTTTGCACCATCATGTACAAAAGCTGTGGTGGTTTGACATTCTACAACAGCATCATAATCAAACATTTAATGCATAAAATCTCAGAATGATTTGATAAATATCCTAAGGGGTAAATCTAATAGATTTGAAGCTCACAAATACAGTGTAAAATTGTAAGTCTGTATCGAAATCAAAAACCACTCATTAGTTTTCACTTTTACAGGGGCTGGTGAAAAGGCATACTGGAGTGGGTCATTACTTTTTCGAGCCTTCAAAAAGGTGTGGGCTGTGTAATTTTTCACTACACATAAGGGGTGGATCATCTTCTATTCCCATGTAAAGGGGGAGGTAATCTGATTTCTGACCTCTATTTTTGGGTCAGTCAGTTTGTTTTATTCTAAAGGTAAGGGGTTAGGTCATTTGCTCAGGTCCTCCCTCTGTAATTTTTGGCCAGACCTTTACAGGTATCATAATTATTTCAGTGATGTGTATTTCATTGAAAGAAAATAAAAAGCTCCAAGACCTTGGTAGTAAATATTACTACAACACACCCTTCTTTAGCCAAAACATTGAACATTATAGAAATTATAAATCAGTTGTCTAAAGCTTTCTATTGTGTCAGCTTGTTAAAATAGGGTCTTGAATGTTGCAAAGAAATGCACAAACAGACCACATTTGATTTGCAATGCCAAAGAGATTCAGTGGGATAATGCTATCCCATATATGAGAATTTTTAACTTTATTAATTGCGCGTTTGACAAGGATCCTCAGTCGTGCAATCTCCTGAGTTCTCACAACATCCTCTGGGGCCATTTGTGTGGATGTTCCTAAGAATGGTGGAATATTCAAAGACACACCTAAAGGTGAGATGTCACTCATAATAAAACCTTTATCTGCCATCACAGAATCTCCTTCATTGAAAGGTAGGTCAAGCATGCCTGACCTTTCTACAATTTCTCTGTCTGATACACTTTCTGGATACACTTGGCTTATGAAAGTGAAAGCACCAGATGGAGAAATTTCCACAAGCCCCTTTAGTGTAGTATGATTTTTGTAGGCTCTGAACAACTCACTATTCAGCAACAAGCTACTAGGCATTGCACACTTCACTTCTGTACAATCAATAATAACTCTTGTACTTGGATATGACTTCCTGAAGTCTTCAGGCATTGTTCAGTTGACAGCTTCTCTTGATGGCCAAATGTTAAGCACTCCAAATCGAAGATACATAAAATTGATCCAATAACAATCCTACTAACAGTTGCTTGAGAAACTTTAAAACAGGTGGGAAAGGTGGGTTTCTGCAAATCCTTGTCTCAAGCGACACAAAGTGAGAAAAAATTCTTCTTGTGGTTTGAGTGATCTTGGTCTACCCCTCTTTACACCTAACTGCGGTGGAGACACAGTGTTCTGAGGGTATCTCATTTTCACCTGACAACCAGTATCTGACATTTTCTGCATTATCTCCCGGATCTAAATATTCAAAGGATGCCAAGAACGCTTTGTAGTTAGGAAAGCCTGTATAAAACAACATTACCTCATCAGAGGTAAACCGAATAAGTGAGAAGACGTTTGACTAAAGTGCTTGATTTTTGTCTTCCAAATCTGCAACTGTCGTTTCGAGATTTGCGCATTTTTTTCAAGTAGCCTTAATTGTTTCATGATCCATTAAGATCTTTTTCAGTGGAAGGCATTTCATTAAGACTGGTACTGGCGGCTCCTAACATAGTGGTTTCATTAGTACTTGTTTCAGGAATATCGTTTGCTGCTTCAGGTGTTTTGCCAGGCTCCGAACACACTGAAAAAGACTCTTTTTCTGGGACAGATCTCTTCTCTTTTCGCTGTCGTAGATAAGACCTATCGATAGGGGGCGGTCACTTTCGTGGGGAAGTTTGTTTCCAAGCAAATATCGACGGAACTGCATTTGTCTTCAGAGATGTTCGTCCACCAAAGCCCTTTGATAAGTCACTAAACTTGAAATGTAACGAACACACTTTTGATGCCAACATCTCTTCGTATAGCATGTATCTAACGTTTCTTCATTTCCTCTTCGTCTGGAAACTTAAAGAATCCAATTTGTTCTCCTTTTGGTCCAACACGCCCTCTTTGTGTGAACAATGGTACCCAACAGTAAATGTTTGACTTCGACGCCATATTTCTTCAGTGTGATGCCGCCTAAGCCTCGTTCAGGTAAACCCGGCTCAGGTCTCAACCGCGCGTCCGCCATTTAGGAATAACGTGTATAGAACCTTCAAATATGACTTTGTGTCGAATAACTCTATGTGCCATGCTGGGCGATACCTCAGGTATACAGCGACCTACTAACATGAATGGGTCGTCTCGGCTCTTTAATAACGCTTATTTAGGAGCCGAGAAGAACCATGTAGGTGTCGCTGCTTTTGTTGAATCAGTTTCAATTACGTACAGCACGACCTCCTGCTCAATCATATCGTTATTTAAATGCATCTTTCTCATGATTCGTGCACCTGAGATCATTGAAAAGAAATTGAGAGAGTCTATGAAAGAATCTCCTTGCACTGAGGAAAGTAATGAAGCGATTATAGAAATAAAACCATTTCCATTTCCATTTCGTGTAGAGGAATGCGTTAAAGAGGGGGAAGTGGGGATTGGAGTTTTAGGTCATGTCTCACGTAGGATTCAGGAGCACCCTGGGTATTCAGGTGTAATAAACTTTATTTTTGTTCACTGAATTTGATTCAGATTTTTTTTATGTAAAACTATTCTTTTTGATCAAAGGGAGACGACAAACCTTCCGATAAGCCATTACTTTATTGAGTTAATCAGTAACGAAACATTTTACATCAACATTTTTTAAAAAAGCTACAATTATGAACAAAAAATGCTTAAGGAAAATTCGCTTTTGACCTTCTTGTGTGTACAATATCAACTAATCTTCTTCCTAAAAACCATCTTGTGAGAATTCCTCAAAAGGAGTGAAAAAAAATACGAGAAAAGGAGATAATCTTTTCTTCTGTTGGGCTAATTTCTGAAAGGGCGATGCACTAGGGTCTCCCAGCCTCTAGCATTGCTGGCAGGTCTTCTTGCAACTTGTGTAAGCCGCATTGATATTGCAAGTAAACCAAGTTTTTATAAAGTTACAAAGTCGCTCTGGGTAGCTGTCTCTACAAACGACTGTAATAAAGAAAAAAATTTAGTTACTAGGTGTGTCCATGTTATCGAAGTTTATTACCTGTACAGTACATAGATGATAAAAGTAGTCCCAATCATTTCCGTCCCATAAAATTGGCATGCTTCTATTCAAAAAGAAAACAAAACAAAAATCGACGAATTTTTAAGTAGACTGTAGTGGACGTTTGACACATTTCCACGTAATTTTTTTCTTTTTTTCTATCTATGAATCTCTTTTCTTAAATTTTGGTTCATTAAAAAGCAATGAAATATTGTCTATGTTCCTAGGTCGTATCTAGTGGACTCAATGCAAAATGTTCTAAGGGTGGATATTTACCAACCATTACCCCGACGAAATTGTGATAATTTTTGTATCCTGGGAGAGTGGAGGCTTTTGATATCTGCGAGCGTTAGCCGTAAGTGATTATTTCTTAAGCCAAAGAAAGTGTTTTACTTTTTAACATTGTCAAGCACTTTAAGTGAATCTAGAGGTAAAAAGGAGGCCAAATCCATTTGGAGGCTTAAATGCCTTGACTACGCGAAACTGTTAATAACACCTACAGTTAAGGTGGAGGTGCGGAAAAATTACAAGTGTGTTGGTGATAACGTTTCCATATCTATAGAAGACATTTCCCTGAAGTATCATGCGCCTTACACTGTACGCCATTTTTCGGGGAACAATAAGCTTGCTACAGCTTACACAAAAAGAAAGGCAATCGCTTTATATGTTTATGTTCCCTGATTAAGGGCTCAGGACCTCGGCTTCCTGCCTGGTGGTCTGACGACCTACAGGTTAAATCAGCCAATAGCTTCCAGTTTTTCTAATTTACCTGTTGGTGCTTTGGTAGTTTTTGGTGGTCGAGTTGTTGTCGGCGGCAAAGTTGTGGTTTCTACAAATACAGAAACAAACAAAAAGCCTCAGTACAAAGTTAAAATAGCAATGACGATTCATTTTATCGACGATAATTTTCTGACGATATGTTTTATCGATTATGATTTTTTCCCAGTTCCTTTATCTGATATTTAAGTAATTTCATCAAAGGCACAGGCGACTGGAAAACCGGCAAAAATTAAAGATGAAAACAACACTGCTGCAGATTAGGAGCTCCTTGGCCCAAAAAAATCTTTTGTTTTGACCTGCTGATGAAATCAAATCAAGTTAAGCTATGATCCTTGCAGGTGAGCTGCAATTTTAGTAATTATAGAAAAAATTCAGTTTGTGACCGAACCCGTGCCCTTCAGCTACCAATTCATGTGCGGGAGGGAGGCAAATTAAGAGGGTTCTTCTGTCAAGTGGAGGAAATTTGATAACAGTTTAGTTGTTTCTGTATACACCTCATGACTTAATAAATTGAGGAAAAGTTCCTCTGATAAATCAACTCAAAATCCTTGATATTGACACTTAATTCAATGACATGTCAAGAGGTTTGATGAGGAACTGTGCATTGACGGTCAGGTTCAAACAAGAACACCTAACGATAATCTACAGGGATGAAATCTGCCGGCTTTCCTTGTGCGCAGCTATCCCTACTAACTATGATCAGTAGTGTATTAAAAATTTTACATTCTGCTGTTTTGTGTATCTATGTGGTGGAGAGGAAAAGTCCTTCAGAAAAAAAAATTTCAGTTTGTTAGAATTATATGGCTCTACAGCGATTTGAGACCATATGAATTAAGGATACTAGAATGGACAAAAAGTAAGAACATAACCTAGCCTAAAAATTAAAACGGAAGAAGAGCGAAGAAAAAAACGGGGAACAAAGCTAAATTATTAATGAATAATTCATTTCCATTTCATCGTCTACGTGATGATGAAAAATGGTACACTTAATAAATGTTTTGCACTCTCTCATGTACTTAAATATTTCACCTTTTACTGGGCTACATTGATAAAGAAGCCGTGCTTGTTCTGCGTCAATGGAGCTCAAACCACTTCGTTGACCAATCTTTTTCTAGAAGATGTAAATTAACGCAATAAAGGTTAGCAACAACATACGTCATTGTAAATACACTTGATACGATATATAACGTCTGTATGATTGAAAATCAAATTAAGTCGCCAAGTAATAGGCAGAATCTTCACGACTGCACCACTCGCTTTTTTTAGATATGGTTACAGTATGCCTCTCTCCCACTGTCACCCACATGTTTTGTCCGCTAGACTCAACGGAAATCAGGACAAGCTCCGGTGACAACTTAAGTCGGCAAGTGCGAAACCTTAAAATTGAAATGAATCTTTTCTCTTATGCTTTTAAGACTCTGTCTCGTCAAGGAAAGGCTCTGCGCTTGATGTCGCATTTTTAGAACGAGGGGCGAGTTGATCTCTTTTTCGGAGTTTCGAAGTGTTTTCCTGTTTTGACACTGGCTTCGAGCGAAATTTGAAATTCAATTTTCCGATTACTATTTAATGTGATTATAACTTTTAGAAAGCTTCTTTTTTACATACTCCCTGTTGCTTAACCACTATTGTTGGCCGGTTGTTTTTGCTGAATGCCTTTTCGCCATAATGCATCACGCTGTCATAATCGTATGGAGTGCCAAGAGAATCAATCTGGGAACGGGTATATTTTTGAAAATTACTCTCTACACCTGAAATGTGAAAATGCATAGAAATTAAAGGATACACTTATTTATTATATATACAACCATTTCCAAAAACGTTGCAATTCCAAATATCTCTGAAATATATAATATTTTTTCTTTTATCGTCAAAACGTGTCTCTCGCAGGCTGTAGGAACAATGTATGTGATAAGCGAGGAATATGTTAAAGCATTTCTTATAAAACAGAACGGTAACGCCTAAAAAGAAAGCGATGTGTAGATGTTCAAAAGGTTTTGGAGGAATTTCTCGAAAGTGGCGACGAGACAAAAACATTCATCAGAGGTTCGTAGTGAAAAGAGGCTGAAAACATTTATGTACTTACTATAGACTACAAAATGTACTTTTCCTTGCATGTTATAATAAGCGCTGGACTTAAGCAAAGATGATTCAAAGATGGTCCAATAATCAAAAGAATAATATGATGCCAAGCAGTTTTTGCATTCCCACGCACGTGCTTAAAGACTGCCTTGTCACATTTCTACCCTTTTTGCAAAAGCACGAGCCTATCGTAACAAGTAGGCCGCATAGCTGGCACACACAGCCAGCAATGTTTTTCCTAGATGATTGCATTTGTCAAGTTAGTTTTGAATTGGCTATACACCCCGTAAAACATTTCGCATGAATGACCATCAATCTTTGCCTAAACCAAAGCAGTGGCACAACGTACCTGCTCTGATGTTTTCCCATTTAATCACAACATAGTCGTCTCTGTCAGGCCTTGATTGCTCATGATAGAAACCCAAGGCATGGGCTGGAGAATAATAATAATAATAATAATAATAATAAATTTATTAGTTGTATAGCCCTATTTACATGTACAGATCAATAGTGCTTTACACTGAATAAAAATTAAAAACGTCATATATCTAAATAAAAATTTACAATAGTAATGGTAGCTAAAAATACATAAGAATAAATTATTTTAATTTAATATATCTAAGTTAATGATTACAAAAAGCTTCATTAAACAGAAATGCTTTAATAGCTTTTTTAAATTTATCCAAACACTTAATCATTTTAATTTCATGAGGAAGTCTGTTCCATAAGTATGGTGCTGCTGCCTGAAAAGATCGATCACCAAATGTCTTCAGCATCTTACCCTTAGGGGGCTCTAAGTAAAGACCGTCATTAGATCGAAGACAATAAGAAGATTTTGATTTAATAGATATGAGGCTGTTAATATAAGAAGAAATCTAATTAGGTTGCGCCTGAAGCAATTAACTGACACAGTTTTCAAAATGAATGTTTTCACAATAACGAGAAATACTGATGGATACCTGCACAAATTCATAAATGCAAGAAACAAAATTTAACTTAACTTTTAATTTGAAGGAGGGTTTGCACTTCGAAAAGGTTTCAGTTAAATCTTAGCTCTGGAATAACTTGGCCAAGTTATATGCGACACCGAAAGTCCCATCCATCGATTTTCTATTGAATTATTTTGTTAATTGCTTGTTGCTGCTTTTACTCGAAAAAAGAAAAGAACAAATCACAGTGATTAAAACTAAACCGTGGATAAAAATGAAAGTTACCAATTTCGTGAGCTACAGTTCCTTTCCGCCAGCAGCCATTACCAAGAGAGATCCGTTGGGGACCTCTTATTCGACCAATGTATGACCAGCATCTAATTATAAAAAGTGAGCATTGTCAATACTGGATAAAATTGATAATAATAATAATAATAATAATAATAATGATAATAATGATACTAATAATAACAATAATGATAATATTTATAAAAATAACGACACATTTAAAACTAAATTTATAAGAAATGTTTCGGTCGTTCAACGACCATCTTTAGTTGAGAGTAGAACTGATTTGAAGTTACATTTGAATTTATAATGTGGTGCTAAACAAAAGCTATTGAAACTAACAGAATACCCAAAGGCAACAAAAGAGTGTATAATATGACGTGTTAATTAGAACTAAAGAGTTAAATTAAAGTGATATAATTGCTTGTTTAAAGAAGGTTGCTCCCAGGAAATATGTAGCGCTTCTTTTATCTTGACCTGGAATTTTGTGGCCGCATGATCTATAACTTTAAAACATTCAGCAGAGCAGGAATTGCGGCATGCTTGGGATTGTTGAAGACGCTGAAAGATATGTTAGGTCCTGTCCCTGTCTAAGTGTTCGCGAATGCGTGTCGGAAGGTGTCGGCTAGTTTCGCCGACATAGCAAGAATTACAGCTTTCGTATAGTTTCATGTTTAAACAGAACAGGAATAATGAAAAATATAACCAAACTGGTATAACCGTTAAAATTTATACGAAGCATGATGGTGGTCCATCTCGGCGAGCTCATCATGGCGATCTCTGGTCATCGCCCTTCGAGTGAACTAACAAAAGCTTGCTCTGATATCCTTTCCGATATGTTGAGTGGGAGGCAACATCGGTCACTGCCGCCCAGGTCTACGGCGCTGTCATCCTGAGCCATCTTCATGTTCATGTGAATTCGGCTGTCGTTCATTCAATTCGCTGAACATTAACACTGAAAAGGCTTCTCCATTTGTTAAATAGAATCGTGTCAGAACCAGTTTTCTTTTATTGTACCGCGTATCAAGAAAGTTTCCCGAACGCTGACTAGATGGTATCGTAGTAAGTGTGATTGGGTAGTAGTGACTGCGGCTTGAGCCTTACAACGGCTCGGTCTTTTCTGAAACGGTTCAATAGATCAGTCCTCAGCTGGAGCTTAAACCGTTAGATTAGTACCATCTCGGTGATTGTGACGGCAAATCAGCCTTTCTATACCCTAAACTGCGACTCGAAGGAGTCTGTCAGATCTGTCGGATAATTCTATGCAGCGCAAATCAGAATGTAAATACATGGTGAGGATTTTCCAAGAGCAAGATGTAGCCGTTACTATCTTTAGGACTGACAAGGTTTTCTTTGTTTTGTTTTGTTTTTATCTCAAACTACATTTTTATTCGTAACTTTAAAAGAGCCAAGGAGATAGATACTTTGTTTCAAAATATGCATATGGAACAAATCTTCAAAGTGAGCCGTGCAGTCACAGTTCTTGGAAACGAGCCAATCAGAGAGGAGAATAATGCTTCGTAGAGTGACGTTTAATTTACAAATAGAGAAGTCTTGACTATGCTCTGTTCTTCCTGCACGCAGGAAGGGGTTGAAGACCAAAAGATATGTAGGAAGAAATACGAGACGGTTCTCTTTGAGAATTTTTGTCTCTTTCCTTCATAATGCAAATTAAACGCGGGGTAGCATGTTTACAAACCTTTGTTTGGTTCTTCTGTTGCTACTTCCCTGCTCACCTCTTTCGAAATTTCACTTTCAATTAACGGAAAAAGTCAGAAAAAGTCAGCTTCATGCTCCATTTAAACAATAGAGTGCTTCTGTCGACGAACTATCAGACCTACAGTTCCGAGATATAAACACTCTCAGTTGTCTTTATTGTTCACCGCTAAATTTTCTTCCGCTCGCCAGTTGAAAAACAGTCAAAACCCACTAAACGCAGATCAATCAAATATTTATTCCTGCGGTCAGTCTGTCACAAATGTCAATAATTCGCAACCGTACATTGGCTAAATAATGCGTTATACCTGTCAGAATTGAAAAGTCACTATTTTCCGATCTGCCTAACTTCGCGGCCGTCAAACCATTCAAAATTTTTCACGGATGAGTACTATCCATCCGGGTATTTTGCGCGGACGGACATTATGGGCTGATAGTGTCTCTCCACGGATGAACACTATCGCATCACGTGATCAATTTAAACCAATAAGAATCGGAAAAAATTTAGTGGTGAACTATAAGCTCTGATAGAGCACGCCCTTTCAACCAAAGAAAGCGCGCGTTATATCCAAATTTTGTTATAATTAAAGTCTGCTCACCCGTCCCAATATCCAAAAACGATGTAATCGCTTTCACCATTTCTTTTCCTAATTCGGAGACAAGTTTTCGAAGTCCACTCTTCGATTCCTTGTTTAATGGCTCTCTCAGCGTCAGAATTACCACCTGGAAGCAATATATACTCGGTGTTCAAAGACTTGGAAGAGAGTCTCAATGGGGTTAACAGCTAGCCGTAAAATGGTGAAAAAAATTCAGGTGTAAAAATAAACAAATTTTAACCATTGGACGTAAAAAAAAGGTAACTTAAAAAAAGAATTTCTAGTGACAACAATGGGATGATGTTGAACGTTAGCCATAAATTGACCAAACTTTAACCGTTAGCCATTACCCCATTGACACCCTCTTGGAAGTTTTCGAGAGGATAGAAGTCGAGAGAAACCTAACTGGAGAAGAGGTGTCCTAACATAGTCATATGTATAATTTGCTGAATTACACACTTGATTTTGGCTGGTTCTTACTTATAATCAATGGGATGGCAGACGGAAAGATGACGTCACTATTAACAAACTTATGTTTCTTTATTATAGAGCAAGGCGTGCAATTAACCCTGGGATGAAAAAAAGGGAAGGAGGGTATCTATCATGTCTGTCGTTCTTTTGAAAAACCGAAAATTATACTACGTTGGATGACGTCACTGCCCCCTCCTCTTTCTTATACCACGGTGGGGGTATGAGTTTGTATGTACGTCCGGGGGTTAATCTTGAAAAGAAATATACCTACAGTCACCTTTCTACATGTTTCCAAATTACCGAAAAACTATAAACTCACGTAGACTTGAGTGGATTTCATAAGGTACCACTCCATTCGGCCACAGAGAGTCCCGTGCTATTGAGCCTCGTTTTCGGGAGCTGTCGACATCCAGTCCGTGTTCGATATTGTAAAACTGCTCCATTGTGAGACGTATGTCTCCTTCAAAGAGGTTTCTGTCGTGAATACGCATATTTTCTGAAAAATAACGATAAGGATAGCTTAATCCCATCTAAACGATATAGCAGGCAACGTAAAGGTGATTTTGGACCTCAGAACAAGGCATTTCCTGTTCTTATTGTTTTTTTTTTAATGGCCAGGGAAATTGTCTTCTCTCAAGCAGTTTGAGTAAGAATGTGATACTTTCTGCAATATTTTTGGCCAAAGAAATCGTCCTCCCCTTTGATAGATCTATTAAATATCTTTCCGGAAATTCCACTGAAAAGGTGCGATATCCGTCTTACACATTTCAGTCCTTAAACATGCCGACCGTAGATTAAACATGCCGAAACTGTAGATTAATATTGCAGTACTCATTTAAAGGAACTGATCAAATATTCAGGTTGCCCTAGAACTTAACATTTCAGTGGAACAATGTGCTGTGTTTTAACTGGGTTGCTCGTGAGATACAACTTTCAATTAAAAGCCACCCTATAAGAAAGCTGGATGAAACCTACATTTACTGCAGATAGAGACTTCACCTTGTAAAGAGACTTTATGTTCTTATTGAGCTTTGCTGAAAATCAATGTCGCCCGAAGTGCTTTCCTTTATTTATTGCAAAGGCAGTCATCTGTCCGTGGAAATAATTTAAAAAACACGAAGGACAGCATGTCGGTTCGAAAGAAGACAAGAACTGCATCTAAAATGGTGCCTAAAAGCCCAAAACTGAAAGGAATTTGTGTAGTAAAGACAATCACTTATATTACTTTAGTTGCTGTTTGAATTTAAGTTGTTTGTATAAGTATTTGAGTGATCGGCGTGGCTGATTTAATATTGAGAGATGTTAGAGCTGTGCGTAGAATGGACGATAAACGAAGTTTAGTGCGGGAAGTCAACCAGAGGCGTGTAGGAAGAAATTCAAAAAGTTAATTCTACGGCAACCTACAACTGTGTTTGTTCTCCCTGTTGGTATTCAAACGGAGTGCTCCATAGTGCAATAGAAGCATTAATTTGAAAGCCACTGCTATCACCAACTGGTTTCCCGTGGACTTTTGAGAGCCAACATGTCATAAATCTGACGATTACATTTATGCCTATGCATGTGTGTCGCATAAACAATACCACGGCGCAAGTCATTCCAGTATAAGTTTCTGTTAACATAGGAAATAAATATGTGCGACGAGTTCTTTCGAGAGAACTTCTGGTAAATCACTGATTCCATATTTCTGTTGTTCAATAAACTGAACGAAACAATGCGAATTTTTTCCTTGTTTTCTCTCTGGTATAATGAGAGCAGGCTCGATCGGTATCCACTCAGTTTTAAGATCTTTAAACAGATGCAAAAGTGTCTTAGACAATTTCTAAGTGAGGTTGAATTATCCACGATACTCTGGCTTGTTTACCCTCAGGAAACTTTCTTGTTCTTTCAAAATGTTCGTTTTGGTTCAGATTTTTTGAGACCTGGCATAACTTAATTGTCTTATGAAGGAATGCTACTGGCCAAAATACCCAGGGATAAGAACAAGGATAAAACTATGCTTATAATAACATCTCTTATATTTGCTAAAGCCGTTGTAACTCATCAAGCTTACCTTCAGCAGTATGGCCATACATGTATGGTGCACACAGGACTGTTCTGAACAATGCAAGAGCAGCCAACCACTTCATGTCGCGTCAGTTTAACATAAGCTGTACACCTGTGACAATCAATTGAAAACTCCGTGTAGTCTCACCGTGAAATCTTATGGTCGCATCTCGAGTTTATATAGAGTACCTCAGCCAATTACAGGCTGGTATCCAAAATAGCCAATGTTAATGCCCTCAAATGGGCAAACAGGCAACCGCAAATTTACTATTTCACAAAGAACAATATTTATATTCGTGGCACAAATATGCGGACTGCTATATTTTTTTTTCTGTATCCATGAGTGCTTTTGCAATACAATTTTAGACAAACTTTTCGATTTCGAGACGTCAAACGTTATTGGTTGAGCTTTATGAACGTGCTTGCAAAGGTGATGGCAGCAAATTACAAGCATAAAACACTTCCTTAAAAGTACATTCTACCAGTGCAATATTTCATCGCAACTTTATTAAAGCAAACATCTTCGTTTACTGGAATACGTAAGAAGACCGTGGGAACATGAGCGCTTACCACGTGAACTCGATATCGACAAGTCAAGATTGCGGCGGAACTGGACTGGCGACAAACTTGCGCATGACCAAGGTAAGATAACTGAGCTTGCTGGGAACTGTTTTTTCACAACAGACTTCAAGGTACCTGATGTATGTAAGACGGCTTTTAACTATCTAACTATAAATACTATAGTCTCTTTTTCAATTTCCCCTTTGTTTGTTTGTTTACTCTTTATTCAGCAATTAAACAACACATCAACCTGTCAGTGCTCATTTCCGCTCGCTTTATAGAGAAATTGAACTAATACTTATCAGCAAATACAAGTAAGATCTAAATATTGAAGCACACTCCCTTTTTCTTCAGACGTACATCCGAGGACACAGAGCATAACCTTTTTTAGATATGCATCGTTGGAAATAAACTTCAAACTTTAAACTTTAATGATAAATACTCCCAAAAAAAGGTTTTTCAGTACCTATTTACAAATATGAATGCTAACTATATCTGACAAGCTATTGTTAAATTCTAAATTCTAACTGTCACTCAATCATTCGTTCATGGCAAGTTTCAGGACTTTCTTAAAGGCCTTTACAGATGTAACGTTTCTCAGGTCTTCGTCTAACATGTTCCACAGAGATACTGCTCTATAGGCAAAGGACCTTTGGCCAGTAGCTGATCTGAATGTCAATCTTCTCATTATTACGAGTTATGCGATTATGTAAAGAAGATCGTTTTTTAAACTTAGGACATAAATATTCAGGAGCTAAATTGTTGACGCACTTATAAGCTATGACAGCGTCTCTGAATTTGAGTATTTTGTCAACTGGAAGCCAGTTGAGTTCATCCAGTAATGGCGTTACATGGTCAAATTTCCGAGCGCCGCAGATGATTTTGCAAGCGAAATTCTGGATGAGTTGCAGCTTTTGTATGTTCTTAGATGATGACCACACGGTTAGACCACACGGACAAACAGTAGAACATTTTGCTAAGGACAAGAGATGTAATAATTAAAACTAAAGTCTCTATATCGAAACAGTATTTCACGCGGTTGATCTGAACTAGTTTAGTCAAGCAAGAAGAGACTAGGTGGGAGATATGAGTGTCATAGGTCAGATGTGAATCTATGTATACTCCTAGATCTCTTGCCGATTTGACGGCCGTGAGAGTCCTTCCATTAATTGAAACAGTAAAATTAACAGAATGTTTACTTATCATTTGCTTAGTGCCGATCAACATGAACTTCGTTTTCCCAGGGTTTATTAACAAATCATTTGCGCAACACCAGTTGGCAACATTACGCAAATCATCTTCGAGCTTGAACTTAGCGTCGATGACGTCGGCTGCGGAAAAAGTTAGCAAAACTTAATCTGCCTGTTAGGAAAAAGGTCTAGCAAAAAATTTCTAGTGAATAGTTTGAGTTTAAGACAGCAAACTCTATGGAAAAAACTTGATGGGAAACTTAAACTCCGTTTACAACAAAACATAAGAGTAAGAAAGATGGTAAGTTTTGAGCTCGGTAAAGAAATATAGAAAGATGTTTTTCGTCTTGTCACGAGCATGGGACAAAGAAAAAGTCCCCATGATAAATCGAACCTGTTATAAAGCTGTTATGTTGAACGCAGTTCAAATTTTATTCTGCTTAGAAACTGTTTAAGAGTGGTCGTCTGTAAAAATCGAGCAGAGGTGTTGAAAATGAAAAATTGAAATTTTTTCAAACTTTGCCGGAACATAAGTATGAATGGCCTTATTATAGTTACGAAATAATCTGAAAAATGCCGAGAAAAAATTATTTTGGTAGAACGGTGGCATTTTGTGTCTTGGGAGTTCGTAACCGTGTTTTCCCGGTGAAATAGTGCACCTCAAGATAACGGCCGAGAAAAATTTATTTCGCCAGCAATTCGGAAACCACATAATTCTAAAACAAGAAATGTTATTCAAAGGTTCTGAAGTATTTTTTCCCAGATTCCTTAAAGACTATTTTTTTACGAATTTTCTAATTCATGCAAAATTTCACCCATCAAAACATAGCTCAACTTTGGCGACTAAAATCGGCCATCATTGTTACATGGCTCTATAAACTGAGACAATAACCATTGTCAAGGACAAGGTTTCTTCTTTTAGGAACTACAATAAAATTTTTGGTCTACTTAAACTACGAATTTTTTTAGAGCGATTTATATAAGCGTATTTGAGCTCAAGAAGCGCGTTACGTAACAAATGTGACTTGCACGTCACATTAAGAAAAACATGATCAACACACTCGAATTCCCTCTTATATCATACAAAAACTTCGAAATAGGTCTCCTTCATGTTCAATATACATATAGTTTTCTCCTGAAGCCAAAATGTCAAGGCAATCTGGGAAATTTTCGATAGTCTACTATATGCAAATTGCCGGTTTATGTTGTTACAACGGCCATATTCGCAACTCATACCGAACCAACAATAACAAAAACTTTTGTTGACATCAGAAGGAATTTCCCAGGCTATAATTACACAAAATGTTACCTATAGAAGTGGTTTTAATGCCAAGAGTATGCAATTTAGTCCGCTCCACGTTTTCAAAACTTTTCCATGCTACCATTTCTCGCCACTGCAGTGCGATCGATGGTACGCGATTGCGTTACGCTCAGGATCTCTAAAGCTATGCAGACCCATGGAACAGCGCTAAAAATCACGTGCTTGCTGTGTTCATGATAATTCCTTTTTCATAATAACCTGCGATGATAAAAACGGAGAAGAAAACAAATAGAAACAACGCGTTGTGGCCGTCTGGTATGTTACTTTAGCCATTTCCCCCTTTTATGAGCTTGGGTAAAGGTTTCAAGGGTTGTTATAATTAGTATTCGTTGTGGGGAACGTATTTTTCTTCACTTTCCCTTCGTTATATTCCTACCACTCGTGGGATCTTGTGTCGAGCAAAAACCAGAAATACTGATCTTTCTGTGTACACAACTCCGCTGTTCACCGCTAAATTTTTCAACTTTTTTTATTAGGGAAGGAAGTTAATATCATTAAAAATGCTATTTAGTATTTGTTTTTAGCGAAAGTGATGGAAAGGAAATATGTTCAGTGGGCGTCATGTGAAATATTGGAATCAGACATGATTTGATGCTACTCTGGTTTAATGAGTGTAACCGGATTAATTGCAATTTATAGACCCACTCGGATTCCCCGGTAACATTCATGAAATCCTTCAACCAGAGTAGCATCAAACAATTTCTGCTAGTCCTCTTGGTTGCTTTTTGAACTCGAATTTAAAATATTGGAATGTTATTGAAGGTACCGACAGTCAAGTTATGTTGGGCTTTCGGTGTTCAGTTTTGTTTTGTTTTTTTTTAATTTTTCTTTGACGTTTTTCCTGAGTTTTTTTTTTACTTTTTGTTTTGCTGTGTTTGTTTTTTGTTTAAATGTTCGGAGACAACAGGTGAATGGAATAGCTATCTTTGGATGATAACTATATCTTTCGAACAAAAAGTTTTCTATTTGCGCTTTTGGCTTTGTTTTCTAACAAGGCATGATCAATTGACCACAACGCAGAATGACTCAGATAGTTGTAAATGACTTTTAATTTTCATTCACTGGATAAATGGACACACACAAAAGGATTAGCTGACATAAAATCCAGCTGCAAACAGCCTGAAAAAAAAAAAAGGAGAAAAAACTACAGACTAAAACAAAAAAATTAAAAAGGATTGATGATAATAAAATTTTTCTACTTGGTTTGCCATTGTTTTTAACCCAGGCTAAAGCCATTTCCAGAATCGCTGAATGAAAAATTACTGAACAGGAAAATTATCTAATTTTTTTCAAGTATGAATCTACAAGACGTCGAAAACTTAACAGCAACAATGCAGGTTCACGTTTCTATTTAACAACTGAGTTTAAGCCCGGCCGACTTTTCCAGTTTGTCGTGAAGTTCTCGTAGTTTGTTTGTGTAGTGTTTGAGTCTTCTGTGAAAATCATTTATCCCCGCTTTGACCAGTCGCCTACAGGTGGCTTTAACGACCTGGATGGCCCCCTGTGTGTTCAATGGGGACTTGAGTTTAAGCCCGGCCGGAACAAGGCCGTGATCTTTACAGCAGTGATTGAACCAGAGTTGTCCTTGTATTCGTCTGACATTGCTTGCGTAGGTGATGTAGTCGTTCGAAAGTCTTTTGCTCTGTCGTCCAAGTGAACGTAAAATTGAAACAACTGATTTACTTGACACTGTTACGACAATTGCGGACAAACGAGCCAACAAGACGACTGAACACGCCCGTACTGGACATCAACAGAAACTGACACGACTGCTACGCGACAAAGAACAGAGACGAAGTAAACCGGACGACAACTGGGTAAGTAACATCTCCTCTCGTCGTTTAGACGACACTGAAACTCGCGTACACCAGTCAACTGTTACAAATGAAAGACTACATTAGATATCTTGGTGTACTCATAGATTCGAATCTTTCATGGAAAATTCATGTAGATTACATTAGTCAGAAAATCAGTAAAACAATCGGAATTATCGCCAAGCTCGGACATTTTGTTCCCCGTCATGTACTTTTCACTTTATACCGCTCTTTAATCCTACCCTATATCAGCGATG